ACAAGGTCCAGGCCTCGTCTGCAGCGTGGGCGTCACGGGATGGTCTGCCTGTTTCACTTCCTGCTGCTTCCTCTTTCTATGGCAACCAGCGGAGATGCTTCTGTAGACTGCTTTGTCGAGAGGCCTCAGGTTGTGGGTGGAATGGTGAGAGGGAGCCTGCAGGGTTGGCAGGAATTCCCACGTCCAGAAGCACCAGTTCAGTGGCTCAGTATCCAGGCATGTCCTGTGCATTACAGGATGTTTGGCAACATCCCTGGGCTCTGTTCACTGGATGCCAGTTGCACTCTTTCCCTCCTCCCCTGCCCAAGTTGTGACAACCAGGAGTGTCTCCAGACATTCCCCTGGAGAGAGAAGTTACCTCCAGTTAAGCAGCGTTGCTATATAGGGACCCTGAGTGTCCACACTCACGCTCAGCTCCTGAAACAGGGCTGAGAATCTTTCTAATCTCTCACTGCTGAGTAAGCATTTCACCATGCAAAGCTTCTCATGTTACACTCCTGCTCCAAGTTGTCTGCAGAATAAATCTTAGCTCCCCACTGTGACCCATGAAACCCTTCATGATTTGACCCCTGCTTAGGGTCCAGCCAGAAGCATCTCCCAGGACAGCCCACACTCACATGCTCCTGTTTGGCCACATTGGAGAACTGACTGTTCCGGGAACCCACCATGTTCTCCCACAGGTTGATGTCTTCCCTTCTTCTCTTCTTCTCCTCTCCCTTCTTTCTCTCTCTCTTCTTCTTCCTCCTTCTCCTCTTCCTTCTTCTACTTTCTCCTCCGTCCCCTCCCTTCCCCCTCCTTCTCCTTTTCTTCCACTTCCTCTTCCTCCTCCTCCTTTGTCTGTCTCTGCCTGACCTGCCCTCTTCCTGCTGTCTGTCATCAAGTTTCCACTTAAGCAATGCCTCATCTGTGCAGCCTCCCCGGATTCCCCAGACAGACTCAGACACTCTCTCCTAGACTCCCACTGATACCGTCTGCTAGCCTTCACTGTACCAATGATCTCGTTGCATGCTAATTGTTGGCACGGATGTCTGTCCCACTCCAGCCCATGAGTAGGGCACAGCAGTATCTACCTTGACACCCTGCTCCCAGCTCCCATACAGTGTGATGTGTGCAGTTACTCAATAACCCTGCGTTGAACACGTAAGTAGATCTGCCTGCCCCACGCCCTTGAAGCTTGTGCCTTCTCCTCTACCCTTGCTCCCCTTCCCAAACTCCTCTGCCTTAGTGCTCTCTCTGGGGATTCACTTGGGGGCTGCCTCAGTCTTTCCTCTTAGCTATTATCTTTCCTTAGTTTCTCTTAGCTCCAGATATCTCATGACAGCAGTCAAAGCAGAGAAAGCCTTTCTGGTCTTTAACTATGGCTGCTCAAACTCCTCCTTGTTCCTCTTGAAGTTTCTACCACACAGTGAAAATAATCTCCTTGATTCCTCATTTCTTCTCCCCTGCTCTTCTTTTGTCCCTGTCTCTAAACTCTCCTTAGGAGCTGTGGATATTTCCCCCCACACTTTAAGTTGGTCTTTCCTGGAGACCCTCTTGCTGTGTGTATTCAGTTCTGCAACAGGGCGGGTGGCAGAGGCCACACTCTTTTCCCTCCTCCAGGGCACTTTCTTCTAGAGAGACATTGTCATGCAGTGAAGTCAGGGAAATAAAGCAGCCATATGTGATAACCACTGTGCCTGGAAATGTCTGGGTACTGGTCAAGGAGTCCCTTCACTGTAGAGCAATTTCCTAGATAGCCAGTTCAAAACTCTCTCTTCCAAGATCGAGTAATAAACTCATCGTTTTGTATGATAATAAATTTTTAAGACTCTCTTCTACCTTGAAACATCCATTGATGATTGACCAGCACACTCTCATCTCCATCATGGAGTTGACCATCCCCTTTGGTCTGTAACTAGGGACTGTGTCTAACTGTCAATGATAGAAGCTTCAATTCCCTCCATTTATACTATATCTCAGAGTGTCTACATTTATTCTTATCTCATTCAATTATCACAACTGTGAAAGGCAGAAGCTATTGTCCTGTTTTACAGATGAGGAAACTCAGGGTCAGGAAAATTAAGGATTGCCTTATATTACCCTTGTTAAAATTCACGTTAGGGTCTTTCTGAAGCCCAAGTCCCTGAAGTTTCCAGCGAACCACATTTTGTTTCTTTTTAACAAATGATATCATCTGTTTACATGTATCTCCTACCCATGACCAATGCCTCTCTCACTGTCCCCACCAGCATGCGCGCGCACACACACACACACACACACACACACACACACACTCACACATCCCTAGGATTACAACCTCCTTGGGGTCAGTGCCTATGTCTTATTCTCCCTGTATTCCTCCCATCTATCTGAGTGTCCTACAATTTATGGGTTCAGTAAGTGTTTGCTTAGTTGATTTGAGTGTTTCCTTTGTCATGAAGCCAAGATTCATGTGGACCATAAATATATCATCCTATTTAGATAAGAAGCAAAAATAAGGAGATATTATGGGAGGAAAAAATGACCAAATTTTATAGGCCCCCTTCAGAGCTTCCCCAGGGTAAAATAAATTGGGCCAGTTTCCCCAGACATCATGCCCACTTCTCAATGCTTAAATCAGGCATTAACCTCACGGCTACCTTACTCATCTCCCACCCCAGGATCACGCCCTTCTGCAGCACCATCCTTATGTTCCTTACCCACAGGAGGTTATCTCCCCGTGTGTTTTGTGATTTTGGAGTGTGAGCTCATCTCCCATCTGCTTTAGCTGAGGGAATCTGCGCAGCTCAAGTTGAAAGCTTTTACATTGGCTCCTGGCAGACATTACAGGGCTAGTACCAGCTTGAGGCTGTTTATTTATTTTTCCTTTTTCTCCCTGAAGCCCCCTGGTACATAGTTGTATAATTTTAGCTGTGGGTCCTTCTAGCTGTGGCATGTGGGACGCCACCTCAGTGTGACCTGATGAACAGTGCCATGTCCGAGCCCAGGATCTGAACTGGTGAAACCCTGGGCCGCTGAAGCAGAGTGCATGAACTTAACCTCTCGGCCAAAGGGCTGGCCCCTGTTTTTTAACATTAACTTCTCATATTAGTATAAATTTGAACTGAAAACCCATTTACTTATAAAATGTCAAGAGAAACATTTTCTTCCCATTCTCTGCCTAGGCTAGAAGGAATAAGCTTTTGTGCCCTCTCCCTAAACTAGTGGACAGATTTTTTTTAAACTAGTTTTTCATTGGAAAATTAGCTTTTTGAACCCCTGTTACATGCAGGGACTCAGTTCCAATTCTCTGATGTTCTTGAGACCAAGGCCTTTCTCTGTGTCTATAGAGTCATTTAAATCATGGCCCTCTGGTTGCCATGACTTCTAAGTCTCTTTCTCACTCCTCAGGGCAGCTCCAGCCATAGCTCATACCTATGGTTCTGGGTTTCCCTGGCTTGGCCTTTGGGAATATCCTTTTATTTTGAGCTTAGCTGCGCATTTAAAATGATGTTTGTTGAACTCGTACTGTCTTTTAGACACCAGCTGGGAAACACGCACATTCGATAGCATGACTTTTAGCTACTCTCTTTAAGTGGCTTTGCTTCCAAGTCACTAAGTTCTAAATGACCTCAAATTCCTACCCAAGGCCATCAGAGTGAAGTTGAGCCTTGAGTGGACATCACACATCCCCCACAGACAGAACCAAGAGAATCCTAGACATAGTTCTGCCAGATGAACCAAGTGGAAGACATCCAGTAGTTGAGCCAAAGGTGCTATGCTTAGCTTTCCCTCTGATTGGAAGACATTCTTAACACATTCACCCTTTCCAAGGAAGCTTGGGCTTTGAGAGTTTTGTATCCCTTAATCTCTGACTCAAATCAAGAATCAAAGATTAAATGTCATCCCTTGGTGACTTCACGTTGAAGACATCAATCCTTACTGGGAGTTATCTTAGCATGTTTGACACTTGATGTTACATATTTTTTAAACAAACTTGATTATTTTGTTTTGAGGGAAAGTCAGGCTAATTTTAGGACCAGTAAAATATATTTATGTATAAATCTTCATACAATAAGATAGGCATGCATTCTTGAAACCATATATGCAAGAAATAGTCTCTTTGAACAAAAAGAATTAGAAAAAAGTGTTTATTGTATGTTATCCAGCATTTCAATGTATTTTCCAGAGGGAGAATTTCCTTCATGACACTTATTACAAGCTATTTTCTATGTCTCACAAGAGTCTAAGGCACATGAGGACAAAAACAACATCTGTCTAATTCACCATTATATCCTAGCAGCTGGGTCAGTTCCTAAGATACAGTCACATTCAATAAACGTCTTCTGAATGAGTGAGTGAATTAGAAATAGAAGGAGGTGGCTCTGCTATAATGTTTGGTGCCATAAATGTGAGAGGCTCATATACCCACCACACATCCTTCCAGTCCATCCATACAGTCCTCAGCATCACTTGGGGATGAGGGGTAAGATAGCCTGTCTCCTTCTTACATGAATCTTAGGCTACCATTTCATCATTTCTTTCAGGGCCACCTGGATTTTATCATTTCCCAAAACTACACATTATTTTATCTACACAAAAATGCCACGGAAGTGTGTATACAGTGCAACCCTCACTCAGAGACATTCCATCCCTCCATTGCCGGCAGCATGAATTCCAAACTCTCCAGCCCAGAAGTCAACAACTTCCACAAGCTTCCCTCAATCTAGTTTTCCAACTTCGTGTTCCACTTGGCTTCCCTTGGCCGCTTTGTTCTAACCACGTTGGAATCCGCCTCCTTCACCAAACCTTCATGTCTCTGGCCTTTACTCCCACCTGCACTGAAGATCCTTTTCCTCTTCAACCTTCGAGGTTGAGGACAAATTGACATGCCGTCTAATCTAGAGACCCATCTCCCATCCAACTCCAATAGTGTTACTATTGGTATGATCATTAGCTGCCATGCATTGAGAGTCACTCAACACATGTGCGTGCTCGCACACTCACACACACACACACACTGAACGCTTTTGCTTTTCCAGGAGGTGATTTGGACTGTTCTCTGATTGATGAGTGGGTGTCAGAGAAGCCGAATGCAGAATCTGTGAAAGCATCCTCTTCCGGCCATGTCACATCTCAGACTCCCAGAGAAAACTCCCACAACCCGTCCCTTCAGTCCCAGTTGGTGGCTTCTGAACATCTCCAAGGGAACGTTTTGAATCATGCAAGTGAGTTTGGTTTGTTTGCTTGTTTTAAATCTTCGCCACACCCGAGGAATTCTTCCTCTCCAGGCCCAAACATGACTTAGAGATGACTAACGTACCCTCAAGAACTGGTATCAACCTGAGCGAGGAGGGGAGGACAGGGGTGCTCCCAGCACCCATGAGACGCATTCGCAGAGGAGGTGACTGCCTTTGGGGTGTCACCTTAGAGGCATCAGAAGGACTGGATTTTCAGTGTTTTATTTATTTTTTTAAACTCTGAAGACATTTGGCAAAATGTTAAGCTTTACTAAATCTGGGTAGTGCACACAAGTGTCTGATTTTACTCTTTATACCTAGCTCTGTATGTGATATGTTCTATATGAAGGAAAAAAAAAAGAAAGAAAAGAAGAAAGAAACATCCTTTAATATTATGCTCTTGGAAAGGAAAGGTCAAAAGATATAAGGGTATTGGTGTTTCCCATCAGGAGTAAATCTGAAATAAGATCAATAAGCACATGCCCTAATCTCTAGTTTGCTGACATCAGATTAGTCATGACGTGCACAGTGTGGCATCAAGCCTCTGCCATCAGCTTGTCAAGGCTCAAAGCCCAGCTCCCACTTATTGGCTGGAACTCAGAAGCAGTTTACCGAGCTCTCGAAACCTTAACATTTTCATCTGTAAATGGAGATAATCATAGTCCCTACCTTGCAATGACCAAAATTATTCATGAAGAGCACTTAGCACCATATGTCATGTCTGCTAAATACTCAAAAAACCTAAGGTTATGATTACATAAGATTGAGGTTAAATGGAAAACTAATATCTTCTCTTTATTTGTCTTTGCAAGATGATGACTATTCACTTCACTGACCAGGGCTTCTTCTCCTCCCAGAGACCAATAGGCCCCACTCCATGTTGTTTCCGGTGCCGCTGTTAGGTCAATGCTAAAGGGTTTTTCAGTTCCATTTCCAGGTGATGGGATGACAGAGAAAGCAGCTTTCATTGTTGAGACAGCTTCCAGGTGACCAACACCTACTAAGGCTCCACAGCCACCTCCTGCAGGGACCCCAGCCTGTGTTTCTGGGGAGGTGGTGTTAAGTGACCCTTCTTTGTGCTCCTCTAGCTCCCAGGGTTCCCCTCTCTCATGCCCATTTCCTGCACTGCCGTTGCATGTTTACTTCTGCATCTCGCCCACCAGGCTAGCAGCTTCTGGAGGCTGGGCCCTAGGTCTTAGTCAACTGTGGGTTCCACACTGCCCATGTAGTGCCCGGCACAGGGCAGATGCTCCATGACTGGGGTGCTCCAGTTAAGATGTTATCTCCATTTTACAGATAATAATGCTTGAGTCTAGACAGGTCAAGTGAGACTTTGTGCATTTTCTTTGCTGTGTCTGGAATGTGTTACCTACCAGCTATGCCTGGAAGACCCTGACTCCTTCTTCAGGGTCCAGATCAAACAGGACCACCTCCGTGGGGTCTTCTCTGTCCTCTTCTGGCTGGTGGAGGTAGCATTTTACATTCCCATGATTCCCCAGCACTCTGTATATAACCCTTTTGGAACTATTTCCCTCTTCTTTGCGTGGCTATGAAGCCCTCGGTGAACAAGAGCTCCCTCTGATTCTATTCTATCTACTTCGCCCGTAGGTTTTGAGTGTTCAGTCTGTTCCAGGTGACGTTCTACGTGCTAAGGATATAGGCATGCTCATCGTCTTATCAGTCAGGCATTTTCAGTTCCAGCGGATGGAAACCCAACTCAAAATGGATTCATCAGTAACAAAATGTCTTAGTTCATATTCATGAAGATCCCAGGCATAGATTTCAGATTTCTGTCCACCTCTACTTTTGTTGCCTCTTCTGTTCCGTGTCAGCTTTACTCTTTAAAAGGCTGTTACTCCATGGTGGTTCTTGATGGCTCTGTGCCTACGACTTCCCAGTTTCCAGTCAAACAGAAAGAGATTATAGCCTTTAGGAGTTATGACAAGAGGCCCAGTTTCAGTGGTTCTGGAAGGGTACCATTTACATGACAAAAACAATCACTTTGTGAATAAGTGTGTGAGGCTCCAGATGGCTTGGAGTGGATCCAATGCTGGGAGGGAAGTCAGTCTGTCCACCTGAACCAGGCACCAAGAGAAGGGGAGAGGTGGTTTCCCCAAGGAAAATAGGGGCAGTGCCACCAAGGATCAGCAAATAGGTGCTGACTATTCTCCGTGAGCTTGCGGTCTAGTGGAGAAATGCAGGGAAATAAAACAGCAATTTTAACTCAGTGTGAAAAGATTGCCGATGGAGACACACATGAGGTATAATGGAAGTCCAGAGAGGGAGCAGCTAAGGGCCAAGAGGGCGGTGAAGCAATCAAGGAAGGCTTCCTGAAAGAGGTTTCACTTGAGCAAACCCAAATAGGTACTAAGTAAATGGCTACTGATGGAATGAATCGATGAACACCCTGTCCAAAATCACACAACTCGCCTTCGTAGAACTTGAATTGAACCCAGTCATCCTTCAGTATTCAAGTCTAGTGATCTTTGCAGCTTGTCAAATGAGACTTGTTTCTGTGAAAAAGTGTTTTCCAAATTCCACATGAAACTGGAGAAGGCTAAGAATAGAAACACACTTTAGAAGGATGGTTGAGTGTTCAATTGAACCCACAAGAACTTCTTTAATTCACAGTATACATGAAATACTGTACACTGCAGTGATGACATTGATGACTGCTATATTTTGTGTTGCCAATCTTCAGTATTCCTCCCACATTCTGGACTAAGTAGGTCTTGTTAGCTGAATCAATCTTCATTCATAGCCTAAATAGCAAAAATAAATACATTCATAGCACAAAGTAATTCCAAGTTTTAAACTACTGTTGCAAAATTGAGCTTTTGAAGCATTTGGCAAAAATGAAGTTGAGGTCTATTTATACTTTCCTTTAAATCTTTATGGGGTAATCCTTAAACCAGCTCTGATTTCTTTTAGCTGACTGGGGTGATACTCAGGGTCACAGTTGGTTTAAGTCTTACGTTTATAACTGCTGGAGGATTTGCCATCTTTTCCATGGTGGCTCAATAGAACTATGATATTTTACTGATAGCAAAGAGTTTTCCAGGGCCAAAGGGTTCTCTCTAGAGACGCCCAGTATGCAAAGTTGCAATTTTTTTTCCCTGCCCCATTTCAGGCAAAACATTATGTTCTGGCTAGATGCGTGTTTTAAATCTTGCCTCCGGCACCTCGTAACTATGTGACCTTGGACAAATTTCATAGTTTCTCTCAGTCTTGGTCTTCTCATCCGCAGAACCATGATAATGGTTTCTACCTCACAAGGTTGTTGTGTTGATTAACTGAACTGATGTGTGAAAGCCATTTGTGAATTAGAAGACACTTTACAAATTTTAGGCATCATTATTATCATAATCATCAGAGTTAGATTTCTGACATTAGCATAAATTCTACAAAGCCTTTCCCCAACATTAAAGTAAAATGAAGCCCAAAACTGTCTATGTTTTAATTTATTGTTTAATGATAGAAAAAACTAATTATTTGTAGAAATTTTCTAATGGATGGTCCAGTACATTTGATAATTTTATCTTGTCACTTATGACGAATTGCTTGAGTTGACATACATCTGAAAATTTGGGGGAGGGGGTGTAGAAGAGAAGTTTTAGTGTGATTTTGTTGTTCCAAGATTCTTTAATCAGCGATGATTTCTAATTTATTTATTTTTACTTCTCCTGTTAGAAGCCAGTTTGTTGCAAGAGGTTTCCTTTCAAGTGATTCTGCTTGTTGCATGCTTAATCATTTCTGCGTGTGCAAGGTAATTCAGATTTTATTTTCATGTGGTGCTGTTTCATAATTAATGAAGCTGTAATTGATTCATGATTTCCTTGCCTTCTTCCACAAAGCATTTTAGGTGCCTCTGTGGCTAAGATTTGTTCATTTGTCTGTCCATGATAAGTGTCCCTTTATCTATCACCTCTCTCTTCCTGTCATCACATGAGGCACACAAAAGTCAGTAGATCTTGCTAGAAATTGGATTTTACCATGTCTCATCCTTTGTTCAAATCCTCAGCAGCTTCCTGGTACAGATATAGTCTAAGAACCCCTGCCTGGAGTTCAAGGGCCCCCACTGGGACTCCATCTTTCCCATTACATTTTTATATCCTAACATAAAGTGTCTCTTCCAGGGAAGCCCTCTCAGCATCTTAGAGCGTATAATGCTCTTGCCTGATCATAGGCACGTTCTGTTCTACCATCTGCCCAGCATGCCCTTCCTATTCTTTTCTCACCCAAATCTCCAGGGCAGTGATCAAGTCCCTTCTTGCTAAGTGCACACATTCCTCAGGGTCTTTGCACTAGCTGTTTATTCTGTCTAGTACAGTGTTCTCCAAAGCGTCATCACATGTGCCCTTACTTCTTTCTGGAATCTGTTCAAATGTCCCATCATCAGAGATCCCTTCCCTGACAACCATGTATAAATAGCATGCCACTCTCTCATCACCACCTGACCTATTATATGTTCACTTGTTTAAATGTTAATGATCTATCTCTCCCTACAAGAATGTGAGCTCCCTGAGACACATTGTGCATCTCCTTCACTTCTGTATGCGGAGTGCCAGGGGCTCATCGATATTCATTGACCCTCCAGAGGGCCAGATATCTCGCCTCACTTGGTGGAGTTGTGTTTTTAAGTACGAAGTCCTGCTTCCAACCCCCGGAGATGCTAATTTCGATCTAGTGAGAATCAGTACTTTAAAACAAACTTCCCAGATAATTATGAGGTTTGAAAAATATTTTGAGATCACAATGGGACCAAAAGAACAAAAAGGAGGGGAGGTACTGTGGTTAAAAATAAATCTTCAAAATTCTGCATTATAAATCCCAAGTTGGAGGATCATAATGTACGTTAGCATAATAAAGGCCCCATGAAATAATGCAGTGAGGAAACTTGGCTGGCTTTGTTTAACTTAGCGTTTCCCAAACTTAGCTGACCATGGAAAGCTTCCCTTTATTTCACAAGACGATTAGTGAAATGTTCCTGTTAGGTTAATTTCTGTAGAAACTCCCCACTTAAGAAAGGGAGCTTAACTCCCCATCCCTTGAATGTGAGCTGCATTCAGAAACCTGCTTCCAAAACCATAACTTCCAAAAGTTATGTCAAGAGCATGTACTCTTGATACGATGTGGTGAGAATGCCACTTCTCCTCTATGGTCTTCCAAACCCCAGTCTAATCATGAGAAAAACCCAAACTGAGGGACCCTCGACACATTGTCTGACCAGCACTCCTCAAAACTGCCAAGGTCAAAAACCCAGGAGAGTCTGAGAAATTGTCACAGCCCAGATGAACCTAAAGGGACATGACCACATGTCACATGGCATCCTGGACGGGATCCTGGAGCACAGATAAATTAGGGAAAAACTGTGAAGTCCAAATGAAGTGTGGAGTTGAGGTCATAGTGATCCACCAGTGTTGGTTCCTTAATGATGGCAAATATACCACAGTATCATAAGATGCTAATATTGGGGGATGCTGGATGAGGGGTATATGAGAACCCTCTGTACCATTTCTTGCAACCTCTCTCTATATTTAAAGTTATTGTAAAATAAAAAAGTTGAGAGAAAAATTGGTTAAGCAAAGAATTATTGATATTGGTAACAGCATGGCTGAATCTCCTAGAAATTATGTAAGTGAAAGACGACAGACACAAGATTCTGTACGACTGCACATACATACAAAATTCAAGCAAGGCAAAACTAGTCAGTTATTATAGATGTAAAAATAGTGGGTAATTCTGCGGGGGAAAAGTGGGAAGGGACAACAAAGGGAATCTTATAGAGTGCTGGAAATATTCTATATTTTCATTTGGGTAGTGGTTACAGGGGTTTGGGTAAAAAACCAGATGTGCATTTTACACGCTTTACTGTACATTTGTTAAATCTCAATTCAGGAAAAGTTTTAAGAATGCATATGAGGAGATGTCTGGAAGGATATTCATCAGATTTTAAGAATAGCTGCTTTAGGCTGGTGGGACTTTTTGGATGATATTTTCCTTCCTCTTTTGTACTTATTTGTAATTTCCTTCAGTGATTCATAGTTTGACGATAAAAACAATAAAGACATTATCCTTTTAAAAAAAAATTCCACCCAGTGAAGCAATCACCCATCATGACTGGCAAAACCCTAAAATTTTAACACACTTTTTTGGCAGTTGTGAAGCAGTGGGCACACAGACTTTCTCCTCTGTTTTTCTGGAAGGACACTTTCGTGGTTTACATTTCAGCCTCATTTTGAGTTAGATTTTGATTAAGCTGTGACATATGTGTGGAGGTGCCTTCTTTTACATGTGGATATACAATTGTTTCAAGACCATTTGTTGAAAAGACTATCATTTCTCCATCGAATTGTTTCTGCACCGCTGTTAAAAATCAGTTAAGTCTATCGGTACGGGTCTATCTCTGGGCTCTCGATTCTCTTCCGTTGATCTATATGTCTATCCTTTTGCCAAGACCACGCTATTTTTATTACTGTAGTTTTATAGTAAATCTTTAAATTGTAAGTCTATAGAACGTCTAAAAGAACATCTCACAGAAATGCGTAATTCGTTTGCTAAACTTGAGCAATCTTCTTGTTTCAGATGGTTTCTGGGAGGACTATTAGCCAGTGTCTTCACATGCCCTTTGATGATAACTATTACTTGTGAGTAACTGTTTCCCAAATTACTGCTCCGTTTCCTGTATTTCATTCCAATTTTGGTCATGTTTAAATGTTTTCTCTTTCTCGCCCAAGATGTTGTCAAATCATTGTTTCTCCGCCTGACCAGCTATTTCAAAGCCACCGCTTGTGCTCGGTAAGTGTTATCATCATCTGAGCAAAGATGAGCCTAATCTGATATCCGAGAATGTTTTCTGCTGAGTAATAGATGGCAATGACTACATCCAGGAAAGGTCCTGATCCGCTTGCCCTGAAGAATACATTCTGTTCCTGTTAAAACCTCACAGTGTTATCATCCTATCTCCTAAATCCTTAGATTAAAATAGAATTAATTTTTAAGGCAGCAGGACTTAGGAAAGAACATAAATTTAAAATTTTTAAACAATGTTTAAAGGGCTTTTATAGATTCATAGCAGTGCACTTTAGAAAGCCCTCATATCGAGACCTTTATCTTATAATTTCCCAAAAAGCTGGCAAACTGCCCATGAAGTGGTCTCAGTTACAAACTGTCATTTCTCTGCCGTGTCTCACTCACGTAACGATCCCTCTGTGTGCTGACTGCCATGGTTCAGCATATTTCAAAGAGTTACTGGGGTCTGGGTGAGACGCTCACGGAATTTCAAACAGCCTGCAAAGCGCCATCTCATTGCAAGATGGATTGTGTTAATTACCTTCACTTCAATATGGCCGCCAGAGGCCAACTCCCATGGCTTGGAGACCGAGGTCTACAATTCAAATTAGTTTACCGGCCTTTGCTCTTGACACCGCGTTGTTTTATTTATGAAATCTTTGCGTGAATTCCGAAATCACAGTGGGGCTTAGGGAAGATTTATTTTGTTTAGGACTCCAAGCCAATATTGATTTGCTGACACACTGAGTGATGCTTCTCTGAATTGCCTGGCATTCCAGGTTTCTGGGGGTGGGCATGGACATAGCTAAGTTTTGTTTAACCTGATAGTTGAAAAATTGGGTCCTGAGGTCACCCAAGAAATCCCTATTCTTTGTTTTTTTGGGTTTTTTTTTGTGAAGAAGATTGGCCCTGAGCTAACATCTGTGCTAGTCTTCCTCCATTTTATACGTGGGTTGCTGCCACAGCATGGCTTACTGAGCTGTGCTAGGTCTGCACCCAAACCGGCGAACCCTGAGCCGCTGAAGCAGAGTGTGCAAACTTAACCACTACACCACCGGGTCAACTCCAAGAAATCCCTATTCTTTAGCCCTCGTAAAATGACATCTTTTCAAAGCTGTTCTAAGATACCCACTTCCTTCTCTCTAGCTGCAGGTCCCTCTCTAGGTCTGTGCAGGGATTTAGAAGTGTACCTCACCCTATGTTAACTACGGGTTTGCACGTGTGCTCAGCTTTATTCACTGAGATATCACACTAGTCAGAGCTGGGCTAACTGATAATGTCTGAACAAAAGATTTTCACCCAAAGAGCCATTTGGTAACCAAACTTTTAGAAATGAAAACATTATTATTATTTGTCAGTTGGTGCGAATTGTATAAATCCCTTCTTTTAGGGTTTTAAGATGAACAGGTACCATTAATGAGAAAGGCAGGTAACGTTTTTAGGAAGCTCTGTAATGAGGGCAGAGTTTCTCAAAGTGTGGCATGGGGACGTCTGCTCTAGAATCAACTGGGAGCTTATCCCCCAATTCCAGATCTTCTGAATCTAAATTTCTGAGGAATCTTCATTTCTAACAGCCTTTCCAGGTAATTCTTGCACATTAGCTGTGAGAATCTTTGAAAGATGGTTTGTAAAAACTTTAGCCCTTGATTTTTTTTTAATTGAGGTACCTCGATTTCTAAAGCAACATCACTTAACCTACCAAATCTTTATTGAGAACGTATGATGTGATCTGTGCTGCACTGGATGCCCAGTGCCATGCAGCAGACATTTATAGAGTCTCCACCAAGGGTCAGACACCATCGCTGGCTGCCAGGGGTGCAATGCCAAGGCCTCGGGATTTCAGTCTGTAGAGACACACAATAATAACAAGAATAAGGCATAAGAAGAGACACGAGAATAAGGTGAAGTTGCATTTTAATATGGTAGGTGCAAGTAGAGAGTTAGCACAAAAGCTATGGGACCACTAGGAGGGAAGTTTTGCCAGACTGGGAGGGGTGGGGGGGTATGGGCAAGGAGGCTTTCTGGAATGCCAATATCTGACTGCAGGGGTTATGTCAGGTCTTGCTCTCAGGGCACCCCCCCCCACTGTTCTGAGCTCCTTGTTTGTTCTCTCCTAAAATGAATTAGATCAGGACCAGGATGATATTTCTATCCTGCACACTGTCCTCTGCAGCCTCATATGGAATAATATTCTCCTTTGATTATTTGTATACACACTTTAACTTGTTCTTCTCTCCTTCCTTTCCATTTGTTCCTGTTTCCTGCACATCCAGCCTCACATCCACACACTCTTGCATTTAAGAACTGTGAAAACAAGGACTATGGACTTCTTTTTTGTATCCATCTCAATGCCTTGAAAATAGTAGATATGCCACGAATATTCGTTAAATTAAATGTATTTGTTGCACCATTTCTTAAAATACTTCCTTTATAGCCAAGAGCTCTGTGCTTATGTATTAAAGATTTTGCAATCTTATCCCTCATATATAAACATATCCAGAAGCTAATAAGTCAAAGACATGGTTATTAATATCAAGAGTCAAGAATGACTCATAAGTCTCCTCCAACAATCAAGGATAGAACCTAAGGGAGTGGAAGGCAAGCACTGAATTCAGTTGAAAAGGAATAATGGGGCAGCCCTCCCATGTCAGTTCTGCACCATGCATGGTTCAATTAGACTGGGTGCCTATTCCTCAGCACTTTATAATCCTCAAGTCACAGCCCTTTTCACATGACGATGCAATACTTATTCAACCACCTTCTTTTAAATTTAAAGCCTGTGAGCACAAGGACAGTCTATACTGTTCACCACTGGCCCAAGTGTCCCTTTCAAATAAAGGTCATCATAAGTGTCCCGTTTTGCCAATAATGTGTTAGCATCAGCAGTGTACATTTTGCACACTTATGACTTCATAGTAACAAAATGCGTAATACCAATTCTCTGTACTTTTACATGCAGGTATGTTTGTATAGTTGGTGAATGAGTGAATAAACTTTAGAGAGTAGAAATATGGGGAAAACCCACTTGTTACCCTACGGAGATTTGTGTTCTAAAGGAAGTGGTACAGATAGGGAGATAAACCACTATGAAATGGTAGTTCACTAAGTACCCAACTGGGATTTGGGGCAAAAAACTCTGTAGCCTTTCAGAGAAAGTGCTGGAAAGAAAAGTTACTCTAAGTTGAGGCCCCACTTTCCTAGTTATGATTATTCAAGCTAGTTTTGTGTGTGTGTGTGCAGCGATTAGATACTGCATTTCCTGTGTATGTGGATGAATTAGGCATTTCTTTTCTCCTTTCTCTGATCTAGGTTTGCCAAAATTTGACAACCATTTAGGAGAGCCTCTGAGGATTGTCTTCAATCTGAATATTCCTAAATGGTCTGACTTGGAGTTGACTAGGAATCAACCGCATTATTGGAAGGAAGTGAGCAACTGGACAATTGAGAAAAAAAACATTTTAATTCGGTTATGTGATTTTTTTTTAAAAAGCCTGTTTTGCCCTCATAATTGTAATAAGCTCATGAAAATAATATTAATTTGCCTTTCCTTTGCAAACACTGGCAGTTGTAGAGGAAAGGACTGGGAAATGTGATCAAGAGCAAAGCCCTGGGTAAATGCTCCCCTATTATTCCCTAAGGCGGTGGTTCTCAAACATTAATTTTCATTAGAGAATTCTATGCAGAGTTTATAACAATGCAGGCTCCTGGGTCCGCCCACATGCCCCTATCCTTTGCTGAACCGCTTTAATTGAACATGAAAGCAAGTTTATATAACCAATACCAACTTGAAAGTAACTAAATGCACTCTGTACGTAAAATATAATGTAAAAAGAAGTTCACCATGCTCCCCAAACGAGTGGCTCAATAGGAGGTGGTGACAACAGATGATGGTTGATGGAAAGTGGGCAAGAGAGAGCCATTCTTTTGAACATACATTCTTCTTTTGAACCATTTTCTTTACCAAGTTTTCAACCTTCTTGGGGCTCACGATTAACTTTCACTTAAATGGCAGCTAAAATAAAGATGTAACACAGAAAAAATCCCTTAAGGGCAAAATAAAGGGAAAACACCAGAATGCCTTGAAACACATAAAAATGATGTGGTTGCACAACCAACTGGAGGGTTGTAGAAGATGTTCCCTGTCTGTCTGTCTTGCTTGGTATATGTTCCCAATGGAAAGATGGCTTGAATTCAACTTTTTTCTATGTGATATTCTCTGTCTAGAAACTTTCATGGAGAAAATTGTCTTTCCTTCAAACGGCAATGTCAAAATATCACTTTTTATGTCATTTGTATTTAGTGCATTTTTTTTTTCTTAAAGATCGGCACCTGAGCTAACAACTGTGGCCAATCTTTTTTTTTTTTTTTTCTGCTTTATCTCCCCAAATTCCCCCTGGTACATAGTTGTATATCTTAGTTGCAGGTCCTTCTAGTTGTGGCTTATGGGACGCCGCCTCAACGTCACCTGATGAGCAGTGCCATGTCCGTGCCCAGGATCCGAACCCTGAGCTGCCGCAGCGGAGCTCGCGAACTTAACCACTCGGCCACGGGGCCGGCGCTATATTTCGTGCATTTTTTGGTTGAAAAAGAATATTATGCAAATAAATAAATAGAGTCATGAGCAAATTAAATATAGAAAGTAAGAGCAATCGTGGAGGAATGTCATTCATTGAACACTGTGTTAGTTTCCTGGAGCTGCCGTAGTAAATTACCGCAAACTGGTGGCTTAAAACAAAGCAAATTTATTGTTTTACATTTCTGGACGTCAGAAATCTAAAATCAAAGTGTCGGCAGCACTGTTTTCCTTCTGGAGGCTTCAGGGGAGAATTGTTTTCTTACCTTTTTCAGCTTCTAGAGGCTGCCTGTATTCCTCCGCATGTGGTCCCTGCCTCCAACTGCAAAGCCGAGGACTTCAGTCTCTTGCTTCCATCATCATATCGCCTTCTCCTCTTCTGCAGTAAAATCTCCCTCTGCCTCCCTCTTAAGAGGACACTGTGATTACGTTTAAGGCCCACTCCACTAATCCAGGATAATCTCCCCATCACAAGACCCTTAACCTAATCATACCTGCAAAGTCCCTTTTGTTGCCTAAGGTAGCATTCACAGGTTCTCGCGATTAGTATCCAGCAGTCTTTAGGGACCACTGCTCAGCCTCCCACAATCACACCTGAGATAGATTTGCACAGTGATTTAGTAGATCTTGGATGTGTTCCATACATTTGTCTTTTTAATAAGTAGGCAAAACGATGAGAAGAAGGTGGTCTTCCCGCCACACGCATGGAACGCTTTGAAGAGGAATTTAATGGAGAGCTAATTGCATAGTGAGCCTTTCATTTTGATGCTCTAGCAGGAAAGCATGGTTTGAGAATTGCTTATGTTTCCTGTGGCTCTGCGTAGCACACATTTTTATACAAGGTCACTTGATCTAAATGATAATGCCTTTCAAAGTAAGATGCCTTTTCAAAGTAAGATGCTGAAATAACAATTGTTTACAAGTATGTCCTACCTTATTGTGTACAAGGACTTTCCTCTCCCATTGTATAAATTTTCTATCACTGCTGTAACAAATGACCGCAGTCTTAACGGCTTAAACCAACACAAATGTATTATCTTATGGTTGTAGAGTTCAGATGTCCCAAAATGAGTCTTACGAAGCTAAAATTAAGATGTCGGCAGGCTGTGCTCCTTCTGGAGGCTCCAGAGAAAACTATGTCCTTGCCTCTTCCAGATTCTAGAGGCTTCCTACATTCCTTGGCTGGTAGTTCCTTCCTTCATCTTCAAAGCATATCACTCCAACCTCTGCTTCCGAAGTCACATCTCCTTTTCTGACATTAGTCACCTTGTCTCCTTCTTATAAGAATTTTTGTGACTATATAGGGCCCACCTAGATAACCCAGGATAATCTCCCCATTTCAAGATCCTTCACTTAACCACATCTACCAAGTTCCTTTGCTACAATGGTAATGCATTCAAAGGTTCCAGAGATTAGGAGGTCGACATCTCAGATATCTCTTGGTACTGCCTACCATGGAGACCTTGCAGTTTAACCCTTACAAACATATGATAGAGGTGAGATTTAACCACAAGTTGTATTCTTAAAACTGTATGTTTTTCTCTACACGTATTGTCACTCATGTCATTAAATCTGTAACCTTTGTTTAGGGATTTTTAGTGAACATATGCTGTTGCTTTGTCAGTCCAGCCTTTATTTACCCTATTTTCAACAAATCTCCAATTTCTCTTGAAGATGTAAGCTTTTTCCGATTTCAGTCCAAATCTTTCGGGCGAAGTTGATTCCGTTACATGTTCTATGGTTGAAGTATGTGATGTTGTCTTCGCCAGTCGGTGTATCCCATAGTGACTGGTTCAGGGATAGGTATATGACCCGAATTAGACCTATTGGAACCTATGAGACTTTATCCCAGAACTTTGATTCAGATATTAAGGAACTGGACTTTCCTTTGTTGTTGGATTTGAACCTGGAAGGATATAAACTGGAGCCTTTTCTGGTTACGAGGAGAAATCCCTTCTGAGAATGGACCAGCATAAGGCTGAGCTGAGGAGAGACAGAGAAAGAGACTGGCTCCCAGTGTCTCTGTTTGAGACCTGTTCATGGTGCATCTGAAACTAGAATTTCCCCTGGAGTATTCTTTACGCGAGCCAGGACATTCTTGTTTGGGTTCAGTTTTCTGTCCCTTGTAATGAAGAGCCCAGGACCTCTCTTTGTCCCCAGTTCTGTTGCCCTCTCTCAGCTCATCATCTCCCCCCCATGCTAGTCTGTAGCTAGTCTGGTAGTCTGAAAGCCCTCCATGGTCTTCAGATCTCCTTGCCCCATGTTGTGTTCCCTTCCTCACCCACGCATCCTCTACAATACTGCCCACGTGCCTGATGCCTACTATCCAGTCGCATCTGTAGCACTCTCTGTGCACTGTATTTTCCTGTCATTATTGAGCCACTTGCAGTTCCTTAGCTGTGCCATGCTCTCCCGCTCCTCCTGTCTGCACAGACTGTTCCCTTGCCAGGATTGCCCTTCTCTGCCTGTCCTTCTTGGAAACACATCCTTCTAGAGTCCTCTCAACTCTCACCCCTACATGTGAAGCTTTCCTTGAGTTGCCCAGGTTGGTTTAGGGAGAACCTTTCCTCTGCTCCTGCTGCCCTTTGTCCACACCTCCTTTACACCACTTCTAAGAGACTGTAACTCTTGTTTGTTCCCCTAAATGGCAATCACCTTGTGCCCCCAAACTTTACACAGGGCTAAATACTGAGTAGGTCTTCAAAAATAGTGGTTGACTGAGTGTTAAGATGATGTGGTCATCTTAAAGAAGACCCAGACCGTTCTAGGTCTTCACAGCCTCCGCTTCCATTACTACTGAATACCTAGAATGTCTAACCAAGTGTTTTCCTGAGTGTCGAACGTGGTCGTGCTGGAGGTTTTGCTGCTGGGGGTGAAGCCCAGGGAAAAACTACTGGGTAACTGTTGGTTTGTGCGCCAGGGGCTGTTCTACAGCTTTAGCTGAATACCAGCTGGTTTCATCTTCAGCTCCAGCTCCCCTGCCTTCCTGAAGAGGCTGGAGCTTGATCCTGTGTCGATTTCTCTTGCTGTCTCAGGTCACTTTGTCAAACCCTGGTGGGAAAGATCCACTAGCCAAATGCAACTGTGGGGTTCCACAAAACATTGGTCACCTTGAAATGCATAGGGGTGCTTTTGATCCTCACTACGATTGCCTGGATCTTCAGTGCACAAATGTCACAGCACCTGGTCTGATGGGGAAACAGCTCACCTTGGAGGGACATGTGCAGCCTATTCTCTCTGCTGGTGGAAGGACCCCCATTCACCTACTTACACAAAAGACATACCCAATCCATGGTAGAGATTCCATATTTGCTGAACTGAACCTCACTCTTTGACTTATTAATTATGCAGGTCTTCTAAAAACCTTTACTAGAGATACTATCTTGTTGCTCTGGGAAGTACAAATAATTTATATATATATGTTTAGCTCATTCATCCTTCCATGAAGTCAATCATTGCAATTATTAATAACTTGATAATTACCCAACACTTGCTAGGAACCAAGAATTTTATTAAAATGAAGGAAATATAATCCTACCTTTAAGAAGTAGACATCATAGCAGACAAAGAACCAGTTAAGTGTGTAATTACAAGTATCATCATATACACTTAAGAGCAAAAAGAAATGCATTTTTCTAAATCATGGACAAATTCAGAGTTTTCAGTAATTTCAATTAATTCTTCCTCTGGGATAATGGAATCGTGGTATTGTGCTGTTGTCTTAAGAGCAGAAAGGAGTAAGGCATGAAAGGAGAAGCAAGGTATCTCAAACAGGGAGAGGGGAGAAGAAAACAGAAAATGCGATCACACTGGTAAAAGCAGACAGTAGTAGGAAATACAATCATTGGTGAGCTTACCGTGCACCCCTGGCAATTTCACATTACACATTCTCTTCAACTTCATAACAACCCCTCTGTGCAGGTGTGATGGTTAATCTTATGTGTCAACCTGGCTAGACTATGGTGCTCAGTTGTTTGGTCAAATACTAGTCTACATGTTGCTGTGAAGATATTTTTTAGATGTGATTAATATTTTCAATCAGTTGACTTTAAACAAAGCAGATTACCCTCCACAATGTGGCTGGCCCTCGTCCAATCAGTTGAAAGCTTTAAATGCAAAGACTGACATTTCCCCACTAAGAAGGAATTCTGCCTCCAGAATTCTGCCATGTACACATTCTGCCAGTTTCCAGCCTGTGGACTCAAGACTTCAACATCAACTCTTACTTGAATGTCCAGTCTGCCAGCTTGCCCTATGGATTTTGGGCTTGCAAGCCCCACAATCACAAAAGCCAATTGCTTAACATCTTTCTCTTGATAGGTAGATAGACAGATAGATAGATAGATAAATAGATAGACACAGATAGGTAGTAGATATAGATAGAGATACTGATATATCTATAAATATATATGTTTATAGTTATATCTATAAATATCATATCAAATATATTTATATATATCATGTATCCTGTTGGTTCTGTTTCTCTGGAGAACCCTGATGTGGGGGACTGGAATTTGCCACCCCAAGATACGTCTCTTTGGCATGAGGATTATTTTGGGCTGGTTACTTTCAAAAACTGCAGACAGGAAAGAAACTCTGAAAAGTAGAATTTACTTACCCTTTGTTAAGAGACATTTACATTGTAAAGGAAATCTCCATCTGTAAAGGTGTCTCCCTCTCTGTACCAGGAAGGGGGCATGAACTTATCTCTAGAAACTCTCATCAATGTGGAAGGCAAGGACTCAAGTCTGCATAATAACCTGACTCTTGTTTACTGTACTTGTGTGGTAATCTCCCATGATCGACTCCCCCTACCCCGACCCCCAACATCCTCTTTGTCTTTAGCTGAAGATGATTTTTTGTTTTTTAGATTTTTAAATTTTTTTCCTTTTTCTCCCCAAAGCCCCCCAGTACATAGTTGTATATTCTTCATTGTGGGTCCTTCTAGTTGTGGCATGTGGGACGCTGCCTCAGCGTGGTTTGATGAGCAGTGTCATGTCCGCGCCCAGGATTCAAACCAACGAAACACTGGGCTACCTGCAGCAGAGCGAGCGAACTTAACCACTAGGCCATGGGGTCAGCCCCTGAAGATGATATTTAAGGTGGTGGCTTCAGCCATTTTGGTGAGTTGCTCAGGTTGCCTGAGCCTCTCCCATGTATACATGTTATAAAGCTTTGTTTAATTTTCTCCTGTTATTCTGTCTCATGTGAATTTAACTAGTTCTCTGGCCAGAAGGACCCAGAGCGGGTAGAGGAAATGTCTTCCTCCCCTACACTGACTAATGTAGCAGGTATTATAATCACCACTTTATAAATGCCCTTAGAGAGGTTTGATAACTTTCTCAAGGACACAGAAGTAAGTAGGAGATGTAGGTTTCACGCTCAGGCCTGTGTGACCCCACAGCCCTCGCTCTCCCCACTATTGATAGCTGCTGAGAAGGGTTAGAGGAGAGGGGCACTGAGTTACTCTCTCTGGAACTACTAACTCAGGAAGAAGTTTTCCATGAGGCAAGAGATTAAATGAAAAAGAGCCATCTTTCAGGAACAACTACGACCCTTACTCTTTTTCTTGTATCTCAAGCTTCTCAAATCTAGTTCCTCAGAGGTTTGACATGAATGAGATGCTGTGTAAGAGAGAAAGCACCTAACACTCCTGGTCCACTTTAGGACCGCTGCTTGTAGAGGCTTCTATAGCTGTAGCCAGCTCATGGGAAGAGCGGCCACTTTGATGGAGCCCCTGCTTTGTGCCCAATGCTTTAGCTACCTCGTCTATAATCCTCACCATAGTGTTGCCAAGGTTACTTCTTGTCTTAGCTGCCACAACAGGCAAACCCATGTAATGCCTGACGTGGGCCAGGCAGCCTTCCTACATCTTGTAGCCCCATCATAGGCCATACATGGCCTCCGGCTTGCCTGCTTAGCTGCCTCAGGCTGGGGAGAGAGTGACACATCCCTTCCCCTACATGTCAGGAGGGAGGGTTAGTCACATGACCCTGCCTACCTATGGGGACTAGGAAATGTAGGGAGGCATGTGGATCTTTGGGGAGCTCTAGTAGACTCTGCCACACCCTCATTTTGAAGATGAGAAAGGCGAATCTCAAAAAAATGTATGACTTGTGCTGTCACACAACTCATAATCGGCGAAGCCAGGCTTCCACCCCAGTTCATTAACGCTCCTGTGCTGTTTTCCCCACAATGCTTCTTCAAGGAAAATCTACTGCAGTTACTTCAAAACAACTCGGATGCAAAATGATCTGCCTGAGCTGCTGGGGATGCCAACCACCTCCCCTCCCCCAGAAAAGGAATCCCACTATTGCTCATACAATACAGCCGAGCAGGCACCTGCTAACTTGGCATACGCTGCATCAATGCCACATTTCCCTACCAGGCCTTGATGAAGGTCTGATCATGTATTTTAAAAAAATCTGCCCCACTGTGAGGACTGCATCCCCTCCATCTGTCCCATGCTGGGCAAAATCTGCCACAGCTGCAAGCTACACCTGCTAGAGAGCCAGGCTGGGGACCTTGCTGGTGGGGGGCAATTTAACCGGTGGATGCAAAAAGCTGGCAACCACTTTGCAAAAATTTTCGTAGCTTTAAAGGAAATAAAAACAAAGAAAATGAAATGCAATGGGGGTTGGAAGACAAAGGCTGGTGCACCAGGACTTTGATTTTTCAATGCAAAAAATCATTTTGCATTTGCACTGCAGAGAGAGAAGGTGACCCACCCTCCACCCCAACCCAAATTGAGACAGCATACTTTTGTGTGGGTGAAACTCAATTTCGGGCTGCAAGTGATCTGCTGTGGGGGAGGCAGCTGACGCTCAGTGCCAGCAGCTCCATCTTTTCTCCTTTTTTAAACTTTTTTTTTTTAGTGAACAGAAAAATCAAGGACCACATTCCAGAGCCTTCCACTTGCCCCATTTCCTCATCTCTTCTCCTACTGAATCACATCCTTTGAACACCAGCACACAGTCCAGTGGGCTATTCCTGCTCCGGAGTCAGACTAGACCTGGGCTGGGCTCTGACCCAGCTGCTTAACTGCTCTGTCACTTTGGACAAGGTATTTTACCTTCCTAAGGCGTAATTTCCTCATCTATAAAGTGGAATAAAAACATGACTTAATTCATAGCATTTTTCTGAGACTTAGATGAGTCCATGTAGGAAAAGTACTTAAAGCTTAACACGGTGCTCGATGCACAGTAAGCTCTCCCAAAGTGGGAGCTGACATTATTACCAGTGGTAGTAAGATTAGCAGGAATTTGCTCTGCCTTCTGGAACCACGTGAATTTCTCAGTTAGCAGGTGAGATGGTAGAAGGAAGAGATGAGCAGTGGGGCTTGGTTGAGGGTGTGTCAATCTAGCTGAATAAATAGTTCTTCCAATATTTAACACAAGGCAGAGGGATGTAAGGATGACACGGGTTTTGAAGTCGGACAGGTAGGTTTGACTTGGCTGCTGTCTTTCACAGCCTTGTGATACCGGACCTATCACTCAGCATCTTCGAACTTCGTCTATTAAACAGGCATAAGTTCATGTCAGTGGCTCTACAGCCTGGAGGGTAGTATCACTCCATGTTCCTAGGACAAATAAGAGAAAGCAAGCTTTTATACCAGCATGAGAAAGGATTCACTTTAAAAAGGACTAATTTCATTTTCCTTATTTTGAAAGCGATTTGCCATCATTTTATTTAGAAGTCCAATGCGCTGTCCATTGCACCACAGAGCCCACCAACATTTTGTTTAAGTGTCAAGGAGAAAATTCAAATAAGTCAAAGAGAAAAAGTTACCTATAATCCCTCCACTCAAAGACAGCCACTGCCGACACCTTGGTGTTTATCCAAGAAAACTGTCTTGGTTGCAAGGTTGATGAGATAGGAAAACAGGCCACCTAGAGAGAAGGACTTTGGCCATGGAAGCAGCCACCATCTGGGGTCAATCTTGTGGTCATTGCCCTGCTGGAAGCAGAGGCCTCCAGCAGATGATAGGACCAGCCCCCTGCTATGATTTATTGTAAGGGCAGTGCCATCAGCTGTCACCCCGCAAGAAAGTCATCTCGCTCCCCCACCCGCAATGTGGTGGTCAAGATGGCCACACGACAAAAGTCGGTCTTAAAGACTCTTTATCCAAATGGAAGCAGGACATATGTTAAAATCTAGTGTACCCAGAGTATCAGTGTCTCCTCTCCCCTACCTCTTCCTTCCTCCCTCCCTCCCTCCTTCTCTCCCTCCCTCTCCTGTTTTTTCCAGCTCTTAGGCCTAGTGTTGGTTCTGTACTCCATGCAGCTCAGGGCTCACAGTCTAATGAGTGAGGTAGACAAAGAGGCAGTGACATCAATGTGATGAGCAATAAGGTGGAAGGGACTCAGGTAGCTCTGGAGCCCTAAAGAGGATCGTTATGCTCCCACCTCTGCCTGGGTCATGGAGGGACAGACAGAGAAGCTCCCCAGGCATCTTCTGTGCTCCCCTACACAGCACCCAGGCCCCTGCCGTAGGTCTGGTGTCCATCTTTCCTCACGACTACAAGCTCCAGGAGGGCAGACACCATCTCTGTCCCCAGTGCCTAGCCAGTGCCGGCTGGGAAGATGCTCAGGAAATACTGAGCGGACAGAAGCTGTTGAAAAGATGTGTGAGCTGCGGGGTGTTCATCATGGACGTCTGTTGTCTTGTTCTGCCAGTGTCCCTTTTCCTCTCTTCTGGTTCCCGCAGCACATCTTTCCATTACCTCTCCCTCAATCCATGGGATTTTGTGCGGCTGCTGATCTCAAAGCCAGACCCCAAATCCTGGGGAACATGGAGGCATGGGCACTGTTTGGCCAATCAGATTCTCTGTCTCCCAGGGACAGAGGTGATTAGAGGAAAGATGCAAGCAAGCCTGGAGTGAGGGCTGCGCTCAACCGCAGTGGCTCCCTCTCAGCCCGGGTGCCCAGTTTTTTCCTGGAGTCTCCGAGGAACCTCGGTGTCTTTCCAATAGATCCTTCTTTTTAATTGAAGTTAGTCAGAACACGTTTATCTTTCCTGCTAGAAAAAAATATCCAATATATGGTTTTTTTTAAAAAAAAAATTTTAATTGAAGTCAAATTCACGTAATAGTAACCATTTTAAAGTGTCCAACTCATTGGCATTTAGCGCAGTCACAGTCTTGTGCAAACACCATCTCTACCAAGTTCCAAAACATTTTCATCACCCCAAGAGGAAACCAGTACCCATTAAGCAGTCAGTCCCTATGCCCCTCCCCCAGCCCCTGGCAACCTCTAGTCTACTTTCCGTCTCCACAGATTTACCTATTCTGGACAGTTCATATAAATGGAGTCATACAAGATGTGGTTTCTATCACTTAGCATCATGTCTTCAAGGTTTATCTACATTGTAGCATGTGTCAGTGCTTCATTCCTTTTTATGGCTGAATAATATTCCCTTGTATGGATATACCACATTTGTTCATCCATTCATTCACTGACGGATGGCTTGGTTTTGGCTATTGTGAATAGTTCTGAAACACTCTTGAAGAAGGAGTATGAATTTGGAAGGTGAAGAAAATGGGAGAAGACATTTAAGAAAAAAGGAGCAACTTATCTAGGGCAGAGAAATGTTCCTGCCTGCTCTCCCCTCTTTCTACTCTTACAGGCTACAGTCCAATCTACATTGAGCAGCCACAGTAATCTTTCTAAAATGTACAGCAGATCATTTCACTTTCCTGTTGAAAAGACTCCATCCCACATTACCTTTCCTCCTGCCTACTATGCTGAGACCACAACACTGCACTCCTTTCCGTTCCTACAACACACCAAGCTCATCTCCTCCTCAGGGCCTTTGCACCTGCTGGACTCTGACAGAAACACTCTTCTCCCTGAACTTCTCAAGGCCAGCTTCCCCTCATCATGCAAATGCCTCCTCTGCGGAGAGCCCTTCCCAATCACTCTAGGGACGTCCTCCCCATCCACCCCCACCACCCCAGGTCACTTAACTGTCTCATTTTCTGAACTGATCTTTCTTGTTCATTTGTGGTCTGTGGTTTTTTGTTTGCTTGCTTTGGTTTTTGTTTCCCTCTGCTCTGCCCTCTTTTCTTAACCAGGACCGAAGCTCCAAGAAGGCCAGGAATTCACTGAATCCCAAGTACACAAACGAGTGTCTGGCATAGAAAGTACTCAGTAAATAATTATTTAATGAGCAGATGGCTGGGCGTGACCCACTGGAGAACTGGCAGGGAATATGGTGTGGCTGGTGTAGAGAAGGAGAGCAGGAGGTTCACGGGTTGTGATGGAAAAAATGACAGTGCCTAGAATTTCCGAGATACCTCTTTATGCCAGGCTCATTCAAACTGAGCTTTAGAAATTATCTGATTTGATTATTGCATGGTACTGAAGGGAATGGAATGCTCATCTGTTACTTCCGCCTCAGAGTCAACATAGAAACCCTAGAAGAGAGTTGTTCCTGCGAGGTGGCTTTGCAAAAGGAAGCACGGAGGACGGGAGGAATCAGAACCCCTGTGTTCTCCTTAAGTGCTGTGTCACTTTGGCCAAATCACCTAACCTCTTTCAAGTTCAGGTTTCTCACGAGCAAAATGGAGAGTACTAGAGTTTAAAAGCTTCCCGTGGTCTATTATAAAATCTGAGATGGTTCGTAAGCACTCTTGTTTCACCCTCAGAACCCCCGGTGAGGTTGGTAGTGATTATTATTCTCTTTTTATAGTTGAGGGTCCAAGAAGGTAAGTTGCTTGCCTGAGGTCATCTGTTAACCCCTGGAGGAACCAAGACTAGGGTCCGGTGTTGCTTCAAGTCCAGGCTATTTTCCCCTTGCACATCCCTGCCTACCTCACTGGGCTGTTGTGATGATTGATTACAAATTACAAGCACGTGCATTCAGCCTTTTCTCCCAGACTCTGTATATCACTGACCCTGGAAGTGGGCTAGGTGTCCTCCTTGCTTCTCATGGCTCCTTCTGCATCTTTGCCCCACGCTCCTCCCCCGAAACCTCTAGTTTTGGGGCTCACACCATCACGCTGTATCATCTGCTGCCCTTTCTTGGTGCACTCAACTGCCAACCCATCATTCCTCGAAGACGTCAGCACCTCCTTGTCGTCCCTCTCTCCTGTCACAGCTGTCATTCTTCTTGGCGATTTCAATGTACACATGGAAATCCTCTCTCATACTCTGGCCACTTGGTGTCTTTCCTTCTTTTCTTTTTCTTTCTTTTTTGAATTTTTTTTTAAACATCTTTGTTGAGTTATAATTTACATCCTACAAAATTCACTTGTGTCAAGTGTACAACATAGTGATTTTTAGTGGGTTTACAGTTGTGCAACCATCACCACAGCTCAACTTTAAAACATTTTTATCACTCCAAAAATATCCCCCCTGCCTATTTGCAGTCACTTCTCATTCCCAGCCCTCAGTTCCAGGAAACCCCTAATCCACTTTCTGTCTCTATAGATTTGCCTTTTTTAGACATTTCCTATAAATGGAATCATACGATATGTGGCCTTCTGTGTCTGCACTCTTTCACTTAGCATAATATTTTCAAGGTTCATCTGTGTGGTAACATGAATCACTACTTCATTTCTTTTTATGGTAGAATAATATTCCATTATATGGATATAGTATATTTTGTTTCTCCATTCACCGATGGGTGGACATTTGGGTTGTTTCCACTCTTTGGCCAGTACAAATAATGCTGCTATGAAGTTCACATACAAGTCTTTGTGGAGACATATGTCTTAATTTCTCCCGGGTAGACACCTCTCAATGGAATTGCTAGGTCATATGGTAAAGTTATGTTTAATATTTTAAGAACTTCCAAATTGTTTTCCAAACTAGCTTCACCATTTTGTACTCCCACCAACAGCACATGAGGGTTCTGGTTTCCCCATGCCCACACCAACACGTGGTAATGTCTGTGTTTGTTGTTGACAGACAGGTAATATCTTTTTTATTGTCACAGACATTTCATTTTTTTGACAGACATTGCCCTAATGGGTGTGAAGTGTATCTGTTGTCATTTGGATTTACATTTTCCTGCTCACTAAAGACGTGGGGCATCTTTCATGTGCTTCTTGTCTGACTGCTCACTTTTTTTTTTTTTATCTCCTCTGTGCTTCTAATCTTGTCTTCCACCTAAAATCAGTCACACACCCTCACAATCAAATCCTGGACCTTGTCTATACCTTCCTCATGATTTCAATTTTGAACATTCCACTCTCAACCATCACTGTCTTTCCAGCTCACTACCTCTTCACCTCCAACAATTTTCGAGCACTACTGGGATCAAATTCTATTGATTCTAACAGCTTTTCACTGTCTCTCATCCTCTGTCCTGTCTTCATCTTAGATTCCATGGGTTGTCATTAAAGTGATTCCCCTTGTCGACGAAAATAATCCATAACCAATCTATAAATGAAAATTTGGGAGAGTTTATTCTGAGCTAAAATCTGAGGACCATGGCCCGGGGCCTTTCTTCCTGAAGGAAGAAAGGGCACCAAAGAAGTGAGGTATACAGAGTGGTTATATACCCCCAAAAAGGATGTTTCACATATGATTGAAATGTCACCCCCACAATAGTCACAAGATTGCCCTGTCGGCACAGCACTTGACGGACACAGCAGGTAGTGGGTCTGCTATCTCAGAAGGCATGGCAGGAGGCAAGTCTATTGTCTCGAGCTGGGTGGTCACAGGTGAGCGCAGCAATCAGTTCCTAGCCTAAGGAAAGATGCTTAATCCTTAAGGAAATGCCAACATTGGGAGGGGGAGGGAAGTTGCAGCTTTATCTCAAGGGCCTTTGTTCTTGCCATAGGGAATATCTAAAGCAGACATACAATGATGTTCAGTGGCCATGGTCAGGCCCTTTTGGAAAAACAAGGTCAGGCCGAATTAGGTTTACACCAAATGGTTTCCTCACATACTCCAATATATCCTGTTGCTTGCCATTTCTATTTGTCACCCTGCATCTCTCTTCCTTCACTGCACTTTCTTGGTGAAACCACAAGTGTGGATGCACCCAATGTTATATCAATTATGCAACTTTACCCACACACTGAATGTAGCTTGAGAAAATACACACAATCAGGCCTTTCTTTCTTCTTCTTTTTTTTTTTTTGCTGAGGAAGATGTTCTCTGAGCTAACATCTGTTGCCAATCTTCCCCTTTTTTTTGCTTGAGGAAAATTAGCCCCGAGCTAACATCTGTGCCAGTCTTTCCTCCACTTTATATGTGGGTCACCACCACAGCATGGCAGATAAGTGGTGTAGGTCTGTACCTGGGATCTGAACTTGAAAACCTGGGCTGCCAAAGCAGAGCACACCGAACTCAATCACTATGCCATGGGGCCAGCCCCAATCAGGCCTTTCTTTAAATTCATGACCGTAAACCTCATGGAATGTTTGGTGGTCCCTGGCAATCATCTTACCCATCCCATGTGTTCATTATCCCATTCCCCAGGTGACTATTTCATCCCTTTCTCCTCAAACCCTAGGACATCCTCTCCACATCTCATTCTTACCTGATGTCCTTGCTTCCTATTTCACAGAGAAAATGGAACCAATTATGAAGACACGACTAGCCATTGGCACCATAGCTATCCGCCTACAAGCATCTGTTCCTATGCTTTTTCCTTCCTGTTCTGTAGATAGAAAGTCCTGGCTACTATCTATGGCTAACTCACTGCTCATGCACTGCAACCCTCCCTCTCTTATCTATTCGTGGATGTTGCTTCAGGAACTGCCTGTCTGCTACAGCAGCAGCATGTCATCATGCTGTAATAACACCTGTCTTAATTAGGCCCTCGTTTGATTCCACATCCTTTATAACTACTCCCCTCCTCCACGTCTCTGCTCCCAGTAGCAGAAAATTCCTTGGTAGATTTGTCTTCTATACTAATTTGTCTCTGATTCTTCTCCGCCAAGTCCATCTTGAACCCACCTCAAACAGAATTTCACTCCTACCATCCACTATAGCAGCCCTCACCAAAGCTGCAACAACTCTCGACTTTGCTAAATCAGGTGGTCAATTCTTCAGCCTCATTTGACTTCACCTATGGCAGCATGAAACACAGTTAGTCGCTCCCTCCATCTTGAAGAGCTCTTCTTACTTGGCTTTTCCTCCTACCTCACTGGTTTCATGCCTCCCTTGCTAATTCTTCCACATCTTGCCAACTTTTAAGTTTTGGAGTGTGCCCAGGCTTAGTCCTTGGACCTCTTCTCTGTCTAAACGCCCTCCCAGCATGGTCTCATCCATGTGTGTGGATGTAAACACGTCTGTAAATCACAACTCCAATTGAATCTCCAGCGTGGACCTCTGCTCCATATTCCCATACCCAGTTGCTCTCTCTATATTTCCACCTGGATGTCTAAAACATACGTCAAATTTAACACGTCCAAAACGGAGCTCCTAATTCCTACCTCCTCCGAATCTGCCATTCCACTGTCTTTACTGTCTTAGTTAACGGAAATGCCCTCTTTTCAGTTTTCCAAATAAAAAATTCAGGAGTCGTCCTTGGCTCCTATACCAGTTTGCTACAGCTGCTATAACAAAGTACGACAAACAGCGTGGCTTAATTTGTTTTCTCTTAATTATGGAGGCTAGAAGTCTGAGATCAAGGTGTCAGGAGATTCGATTTCTTATGAGGGCCATGAGAGAAGGATGTGTTCCAAGCTTGTAGATGGCCCTCTTTTCCCTGTGTCTTCACATGCTCTTCCCTCTGTACATGTCCGGGGCCATCACATTTGGAATAACACCCTGTCTCCTTACAGGGTCCTACATGATTATTTACCTCCTTCCTACCCCATAACATTTCCTCTTTGCTCATCTGCCCCAACATACTAGCCACCTTTTTTCTGTTCCTTTAGCAAGCCAGGCTCTCCCTTATCTGAGAGCTTTTGCTTTTCTCTCTCCCGGGAAAAATCTTCCTTTAGGCTCTTCACATAGCTGGCTCCTTCTCATGCTCAAGTCTCCCCCCAAACGTGACCTACTTTGACTACCCAAAGTAGCCCTCCTCCAAACTTACTCACTGACCTCATTTCTCTTTCATAGCTGATATCATCGTCTGCCATCGTCTTGTATAGTATTTGTTTACTTGTTTACTGTCTATCTCCTTCATGAGTATATCAGTTCTCAGATGGTCATATTCTTTTCAATCTTGGTCACCAATCTACCGCCAGTCCCAGGGGATTGATATATGCTTGCTGAAAGAAAAAAAATGAGTAAATGAATTAATGAGACCCTCTCATGCCCGCCCAGATTAAGAATCTTTACACCAACAACAGCGTACTCTTGAAACAATTATTTGAATACACATGTATGTGTACACACACACATACACACACTAGGTAGGAGACAGGGCGGGCAGAAGACTAGATTAAAAATAGAGTTTGGAAAAGAGTGTCAGTCCTCTTTGTTCCTGTAACCAAAGCCTTGTAAATACTACTTTTCTCTAAACTGAAATGAGAAGCTATGAATTCTAGAAGATTTTGTGAGTAAGGCCTCTCTCTGCCTTGGGACAAATGGTGCCCAGCCGAGCTGTGTGACATGGAAGGTGAGATCATTTTCGGCAGCTGCCATCAAACTTGAAAAGGGTTGATTGATATGACAAAGTCTTTTCACAAAGAACATAAATCAAAGGAAATGACTGACAGCGAAGTAAACATTTTAGAACTAGAGTAATTAGGAATATATTAGCAATTAAAATAAACTTATTATCATTAGCAAAATTGGCAGCTACTTGCAATTTCCCCAGGGGCCTCATTTCAAGTTTATCCTTGTAGATTATATTAAGGCAGGAGTCATGTCTTTGGAGATACAGTTTTAATTTTTGTGGATTTCATTTTCTCGCATCCACATCCACAGTAAACAGACCTCAGTGGTCCTCGAATAACAATCTTGTGGATCTGAGGTTTGCTAGGAGCCGGACGCAGGTGTCCTAACACTAAAACTGAATAAAGCTGTTGTTTACCCAACTCTCAGAGAAAATTAAATTAGAGAATATAATTTTTAATTATTTTCTCTTATAATTTTTTTAAAGACTTCTGCACCTGTTACCATTTGTCTTCCAGGAAGTGCTAGAAAATGACAAATCTCCTCAGCTTGAAGTAAATAAATAAACTAATCAAGGAAAAAACAAGGTCGCCAGCCTTCTGAAATCAATAGCGTCTTCCCTCTGTGGACACGTGTGCTGATGGGTCCGACTTTTTGGATAGTAGCAGAGGCAGGATTGAACCCTCCATCTCTTTTGGTTCCTTTGTACCCTTGGCTTCCTGCTCATCCCTGCGATAATGGGGAGAGCATCTTTAGCATCACAATGCATCAAAACTGTATCAGTTAATGTTCTTTGTTGTTGGTAGTGAAAACTGACCCTGGCAATAGAAGCAAAATGGTGAGAGAATATTGGGGAGCTCACAGAATTGCTGGGGAGCTGGGGAGGGGCATAATAAAGAGTTTGCCTTGCCCAAAGAGAAGGTCTGGCTTTTGTCCTCGGCTTCTAGGAGGTGATCTGTAGTCTTTGTTTCTCTAGGGGCCTTGAGTCACAATGGTTAGTCTAACTACGGCTCTACCTGTGTCTATTAGGGTGAGGGCTGTCCACACCAGAAAGACGAACAATGTAACTTGAAGGTGGGAGAAGCTTTGGGTCACACAGTATCAGTTGACCTAGAGACCGAGATTAACCATATTGACAATTAATCAATCAATCATGCCTACGTAATGAAGTCCACATAAACACTCTGGGCACCCAAGCTCAGGTGCGCTTTCCTGGTTGGCGGTACCTTGTATGTATGGTTACATGTCGATGCCGGGAGAGGAATGTGTTTGGACTCCGTGGGGAGAGGACAACAGAAGCTCCACATTTGGAAGTCTCCTGGGCTCTGCCCTATGTGTCTCTTCTTTGGTTGATCTTAATTTGCATCTGTTCCTTGTAATAACCTGTAAGTGTAACAGCTTTCAGTAAGGTCTGTGAGTCGTTCTAGAGAACTGTCAAGACTGAGGGTTGTTTGGGGAACCCCCAAACTTGAAGTTGGTGTCAGAAGTGAGGGAGGCCTTGTGTGGAGGCTACACCCTCTAAACTTTGTAGCTGGCCTTACCGATTTGCAATAGGGGCACCAACAGCTGCAGTGGGCAGGAATTAGAGATGCTCTGGAGTGCCAAGAAGCTAGAAGCAGGAAGTGGAGTAACCATTGTCCAGGTAAAACTGTCTGGCCAGGACACCACAGTGATGACCTTTCCACCCCTCTGTCACAGCTCTCAAGAGAAGGTCCACAAATAGGGGTCATGTACCCCCACACTGCCTGTTGTTTAGAAATCGGAGAAAAAAAGTAGGTGCAACTTTGGCTTCTATCTCATCAAACTTGGCACCTAGAATTGCCCTCCAGCAAGACCCAGAGGAGTCGATGCTGGGCACCAACACCGACAAATGTCCACTTCAAAAGTAAGGCTATGAGAGACAGTCAATATGAGCAAGGTTCTGCTCTGTGTTAGAGATGTTCTACTCAGAAGAATCTGGAAGACTTAAGTCTCCTCCCACTGAGGCTGGGGAGGATCCAGAAACAGCAGATTCCCCAGGGGCATGGCAGGGCGAAGCTCGGAGGCTGTGGGACAGGCTGGGCTGAGAGGCAAATAAGGAAGCAACTCAGGAAACCAGAAAGGGGGAGGGCATGCCGGTGCCCATCTGAGAGAGGCTGACCTCACGGGAAACGAAAGAAATATTTTATTCTGTCTTCTGGATTCTGAATGCACTTGTGATCTGCCACTAGTAACATTGTGTTCTTCATGGCAGTGACCAACTGGGTCTGAACCCTTTCCTTTGGGTCTGGAAGGGATGTAATGGAAGGGTTACCCAAACAGATGGTGTAATAAGCTGCTTGACAGTAAAGGGATTAAGTTTAATTAATGGGCTTTAATACACACGGCAGTATTTTATGCCATTCCACTTTTCAGATGAGAATTATTGCCTAGTTAAGCAGGAAGAGAATCCATAGTTATGAATTTTAGACTGAGGAAGGACTCTGGAGACCACGTGGTGGGAGGTGGGGAGGCGGGTTGATCTGTGCACATAGAGGGTGGGCCTCAGCAGTCTTGGAGGAGCCAAGGAGGAGACTTTAGCTCAGGGGTTTTCGAACCCTACTTCTGCGAGTTTCCCATGAGCTGGGCCTCTATTATCAAACAAAACCAAATGCTGTTCTTCTCCCAGGTCTGTGTAGACAAATAACTGACCGAATTGTCTTGGTTCACCTCAGGGTGGTACTCAGGGACATTGACACCTGCTTCAACCTGAGAAGATTCCCTTTTACGTGCCGTAAGTATTAGGATTTGAATAGAGAACTCAGGCTGCTAAAACAATGCTTAGAAGCCACTGTGTCCAGTTTCTTATCCAGAGGAGGCATCTCCTCCTACAGAATCCTGCATAGATGAATTAAACATGTTTTAATTAACAAATTGTGTTTAAACACAATTAAACCTCCCATTAAACATGGTAGTGGAAAGGACTTGTCCACCCTTTGAATCTGGGTGCATTTCTGACCACTTCAGCCAACAAAGTAGGAAGGGAAGAGACTTGTCCACTTCCCGCAGCAGTCAGCTCCACCATTCGGTTATCTCTTGCTGTATTAAAATTTAAAAACCCACAAACATAAAAGAACTCCTTTAATATATCTCCTTTAATAGATATCTTTTGTGGTCAGGAATTCCAGCAGGGGTCAGCTGGGTGATTCTCTTGTTCTATGTGGCATTGACAAAGGTCAGTCACTCAGTGACACTCAGAGATGGATGGGCTAGTTTAGAGGGTCCAAGACAGCATCACTCAATATCTGGCATGTGGGCAGGGAGGGCTGGAATGTTGGGGCTGGCTGGAAAGGGCACCTATACCTGGCTTCTCCAGCGTGGTGGCCTCAGGCTAGTCAGACTTCTTACGTGGTGGCTCAGGACTCAAGAAAAGTCAGTGTTCACCAGAGTGAAAGCTCCATGGATTTTTATGAGCCAGCTCTGTAAATTACAGAGCATCTCTTCCTTGGTACTTTATTGGTCAAAGTAGTCAGAAACACACCCAGATTCAAGGGAAGGGGCCTGGACACCATCTTTCAACAGGAAGGATGTAAAATAATTTGTAGCCATGTGCTATTGGAAAATTCTGTTTCTTGAGGAGCTTTTTCTAACTTGGGGAGTAAATTTGCCTCCTTATCTTCAAGTCACTGGTTCAGTTGAGGGCTCATGAAACATTTTTCCCTTCTTTTTTCACGTAGCCATCCTTCAGGTACCTAAAGACACCTCTCACTCAGCAGTCTCTTCTCTGACATAAGCTCATGGCCCTCCATCTTTCTTCACACATAATGATAAAAACAGATGTATCAAGCACCAACTATGGGCAAACACTTTACACATCATCTCTTTTAAACTTGGCTAAAACCCAATCAAGCAGGCACTTTAAATCTTCCCATTTTACAGATGAGTAAACTGAGACACAATGAGGTTCAGTAATTTGTTTAAGGCCCCGAGACTTGAGCCCTCAGTGGTGGAGTAGGACATCCTGGTTCCTCTCCTCCGAGTAAATTCAAATTAGTAAGAGTCCTTCCTAAAATGTCAACTCTTGCTTTTATTAAACTAATGGAGACAAGCAGAAGTTTGGAGATTAAAGTAATTAAACAAGGAGGACATCAGACTGAGCGGGCTCTAAGCTCTTGGCAGCCTGTGAACAGAAACCTAAGCCAGAGTCAATTCCTATAAAGACCTCAAGATTCAGAAATGGAGACCTAAGAACAACCAATCACAAACAGCCAGGTAGGTTCTCTCAAATAAGGCAACTGCTCAGCCTCAGCCAATCGAATAATTGCTCTGCTTCCCGTCCCCGCTACAGAATTCTCTCCCCAACCCCCGGCTGAGGAGCACTCCTCACCACTCTCAGTTTGGCGCTGCCCGATTCAAATTGATATTTGCTCAGATAAACTCTTGAAAATTTTAATGTGCCTCAGTTTATCTTTTAATGGAGGAAAAAAATCATTTTATACTTGATTTTGAGATGTGTTTTATTGGAGTGTCTGATGTTTGGGGGTCTCGCATCCAATAACACAAATTCATACCCATAGATATGGGTCAGGAAGCCCTGGGAACTTACCTAGTCGTCCTATTTCACCCCCTTCTCATTTCCTGTCTTCAGTCTACCAGCCAGAAGAAGTCTTCCCTCTGATGGGTACAACAGACCAACCCAAAAATGCAGCTCACCACCAGTCTCCCCTAAGGCAAGCAAAACAGTCAAGATTAATTTTCCTAGACCTTTTTCATTGGGTTTGTACAAAGTAGACCAAGTTTCTTCATCTGTAAAACGGGATAATAGTACCTACCTTTTTGGGTCACCATATATGGAGGTGATTATTTTGTTTACAAAATATGAATAGTTAACCATTACTGAGTGCTTCCTATACGGCAAGTACAAGAGCTTTACATATATTTGTTTCAGTTACTCCTCATAGTGTCCAGTAGATGGAAGGCGCTTGATAAGTATTTGCTGATGGAAAGAAGGAAGGAAGGAGGGAGGGAAGGAAGGTGGGAGGGATGGAGAGAGAGAAGGAAGAAAGGAAGGAAGGAAGGAAGGAAGGATGGAAGGAAGCAAGGAAGGATGGGAAATTGTAGAGGTGCTAATAAATTTGGGAGCTTGGTTTTTGTGTCATGGATTCGCAGTGAGAAAACTCTTTTGAAGGAAAATGAAGGCAAAGTACTTGTAACCATGATATTAGTTATGCAGCACAAAAATACTAAATTATATATAATAATAAAAATAATAGGAACCAAATCGCTTTCTAGGTCAGTGTTCCTGGAATTTATCAGCACAAAAGAAGTAGGAGGACTATTTCGCTGTTACTGGAATTTGAAAAAAAAAACCCTCTTCAAGATTTACTTCTACTTATATACACAAAATGTTGCAGCAGTTTCCTCAGGAAGCACAACTAGTCTTGTTATATTTCCAAGAGGCAGAGAAACGAGTCTATTTTGAATAATGATTTGCATAAACAGACACACACCATGACTCTTTAAACTATCGCACTCAGTTTGAGTGAAATGAACCTGACTCTACTTGGAGCTGTCACGTTGTGATTTATTTCCTAATTTCCCTTCCTGTCAGTAGACTGGAACAATCACAGCCCATTGTACACCTGTCCTTCACGCCCCATGGGTCCTCTGTTTCTGAGAAACACAGTGACTATGGTGATGGTTTGAGGAAGGACACAGCCTAGCCAGCCCAGGCTGGCCCACGACGAATTATGAAGTAGATATTCCCAGCCACCCTACATTATCACTCAAGGCTCTTCTCTGTGTCACCAGTGGTGGAACAACCTGTCCAGACTCTGCCCCTAGAAGGAGCTCTTATCCTAGATTTTGGTGAAAAGGTCTTAAGATGAGGAAGAGCCCAATGACCAGAAGAATGGGGCATCCTTGCTGGGTAGCCTGTTAGATTCCCTTCAAACGTGGACACCTCTGTGGTGATCCTACTTAAGTCATGCGATGTGGTTCTTACATCCAGGATAGCTAACGTCTTGGAGGGATTGCCTCACTGACTCATTCATTCAATCATTCAACGAATATTTATTGGGCACCTAAGGAGAGTCAGGAATTGTGCTGAGAGCTAGGCTTCAGAGAAGAAAAAATAAACTTCTTCCCTGCCCTCAAGTAGCTTTAGTCTAGAAAATGATGCAGTAGAGAGTATAGATTTGGGCACAAGACCCTGGAACCACTATACCCTAGTAATATAATCTCACTGGGCCTCGGTTTCCTTTTCTGTAATATATAAATGATAAGACTGCCTACCTCCAAGGGTTGATGTGGGAATTAACACTTTCAAAGAACGTGGGCAGTGCTGAACACACAGTGCTTAAAAACATCTTAGAGATTCTTTTTTTTTTTTTGAAAGATTCGCCCTGAGCTAACATTTGTTGCCCATCTTCCTCTTTTTTTTCGTTTTGCTCCCCAAAGCCCCAGTGCATGGTTGTATATCTTGGTCGTATGTCCTTCTAGCTCTTCCATGCCAGCTGCCACCACACCATAGCAACTGACAGACTGTGGTGTAGTTCCACAAGCAGGAAATGAACTCAGGCCACCCAAGCCGTGAGAGCCCTAAACTTTAACCACTAGGCCATCAGGGCTGGCTTGATATTTTTATCCAGTCGAACGACTACTCCACTGTTTGTTCACTTATGCGTGAATGAATAGAATACCCCAGTTCCTGACATAGTAAGTTTCACAGGAAAAATTCAAGACTCCTTTGGCAACTAGAGAGTTTAAGATGAAACTGGGAGTTCAAGAGTGAGTTTGTCTGAAGGCGAGACTAGAAGTTTGCAGCCAACATATCAGACACCTGTGTTGCAACTGCTCTTGAGAATTTCTAGAGTCTTAGACTGTCTCTGTCTTGTCTCTTCTGATCCAGGGGCCGAGATCCCTTATACTGGGCCTGACCTCATGCCTCTGTCAGCTTAGAAACTAAGTTTTCTATCTGGAATACCCGTAGTACCAGCTTCCTGCCAGAAGCTAGATCCTTTTTAGGCTTGATGAATCCTTGCTGTCAAAATGCACAAGTTCAAGCACAGGCATATTTGCTAAACTAGCCTGCTGCTCATGGCATGTCATCTCCTACCTGAGTAATCAGACACAAGCTCACAGACCTCTCAGTGGCACAGCTGTAGGTGATTGCCTACAATGTCATCTTCATGCGGAAATGGGAGAGTTTTAGCTCTGGAAGGTGGAGTCATCTGGCCGATGTGACACAGTGGCAATACATCCATGGGTTTGAACCAGTTCTCCAACACCAGAGGTCATACTCTTCACCCCACCCTGTCCTGCTTCCAAAAAATAGTGAAATGATGAGCACTAGACTTTTGGGTAGGAGTAGTAGATATTACCTTAATTTATAGTTTGAGTGCCTTTGGGTGTCTCCTTGGCACTCTAAATATTTCTCCCACTGTCCACACAGTGGTAATGCCACATAGTGCCTGAAATCCTGCCATTCCAGTTCAGTTCCTTTGGTCTGGCATTTGAGATCTTCTCTACCCCTATCTAATTTCTCAGGCTTACTGTTCAGAAATCCCCTTTACGCAGTTGTCTCTATGGCCAAATTGACAAGCCTCTGCTTCACTCTACCTTCTTTGGCTTTCCTGCCTCTTTGCCTCAGTTTATGCTCTTGCCCCCATCTGGCAAACCCTAATAACTGCCCAAAGGAATAAGTGCCCACAGTAAATGCTTACCAGGTGTCTGCTGAAAGAATATATTTCTTTGTACTCAATATCGCTCTATGAAACTTCTTTTTAAATGCAAACATAATACACATACCAAAATAAGAAGCACGAACATCATATTGTTTACTATGACTGGGATGGGAGGAGTTTTTTTAATCTTTTACATATTGCACTTTGTTTTTGCAAATAGGGTAGAGGATAATAATTTTGTAATAATAATACATTAAAAATAGAACAACTCTTGGGAGGTGTAATACCTTAAAGTGCTGTCGACAAAAATAGTCCATAACCAATTTATAAATGAAAATTTGGGGTGAGTTTATTCTGAGCCAAATGTGAGGACCATATAGCCCAGGGACTTCCTTCCCTAAGGTAGGAAGGACATCAAAGAAGTGGGGTGTACAGAGTGGTTATATACCTTCAAAGAACATGTTTCACATATGATTGAAATGTCTGTTTTATAATAGTCATGAGATTGCTCTGTTGGCACAGTGATTGATGGACACAGCAGGCAGTAGGTCTGTTTTCTCGAGCTCGGTGGTCACAAGTGAGCACAGCAATCAGTTCCTAGCCTAGGGAGAGATGCTTATCCTTAAGGAAATGCCAATGTGAGGGAAGTGGCACTTTTATCTTAAGGGCATTCATTCTTGCCTTTCAGACATAGGAAATGCTTAAAGCAGACTTACAGTGCATGATCAATGGCCACATCAGGCCCTTTTGGAGAAACAAAGTCAGGCCGAATTAGGTTTACACCAAATGGCTTCCTCATATACTCCAATATATCCTATGGCTTGCCATTTATTTGTCATTGCTAACATCTGAACATCTGAGAATGAATGAGTTTATTCATGTCCTTCCTAGTCCAGAATAGGGGTAAAGCACATTGGGCACTTTTGGAGAGAGGCCCAGTGAAGTGTAAGGCGAGCAGAAGGAGCCTTAGGAGATATACTTCTTATACTTTATAATTAAGAAAGCGGTGGGTAGGGATTACCCACCCTGAGGGGATAATAGGCAGTGTTTTTAGAAAACTTGTTAGCAGCAAATTGACTGGTGTTGGGCAGTGACTTTAAAGAGATGGAATCTAACAATAACAACTAACCTTTACACTGAGCTGTTTTTTTTTTTTAAAGATTGGCACCTGAGCTAACAACTGTTGCCAATCTTTTTTGTTTTTTCCTGCTTTATGCCCCCAAAACTCCCTTTACATAGTTGTATATCTTAGTTGGAGGTCCTTCTAGTTGTGGGATGTGGGACGCCGCCTCAATGTGGCCTGACGAGCGGTGCCACGTCCGCACCCAGGATCCCAACCCTGGGCCGCTGCAGCGGAGTGCGCGGGAACTTAACCCCTCGGCCACGGAGCCGGCCCCAACACTGAGCTGTTTTTAAATATTGTCTTTCCTTCACTGAAATCGTCTTGTTAAAGCTTCACAAAGATCCTTTGAGGTCATTATTATTACTCACCTTACAGGGGTGGAAATGGAGGCTAAAGAAGTTTAAGGTGACACTGCTCGTGTATGGCGTGTGGGTCAAATCCAGATCTCCGGACTCTGGAAGATGTTAAAATAAGAGGGAAAAGTAGAAGCAGGGCAAGAGGCACGCCTAGGAGGCAGCTTCCATCAGGAAGCAAGAGCGCCCTGTGGTTCTTTTGTTTAGCCTGGCCAGCTGATTCGGGGAAAGGGAATCGCTCTGCAGAAAGCCGAGGACGCGGACATGGAAGAGGACGACGTCTAGGCTGGGGATTGCTCCTGTCTCCTCTGCGGGAGCTCCTCCACCGCGGAGTCCCCCCTCCTTGCTCCCCGGGAGCGCAGGAAGCGCAGCGCCGCCTGGTCCCGCGCGGCCGCCGTAGCGTCCCCGTTGCCATGGCTCCCGAATCCCGGTGCGGACGCGCAGAGGCGTGACTGGGAGCGGGAGCCGAGTCTCCGGGTCCACGTCGAGTTTCCCGTGCCCGCGAACCCGAGAGGCGCCATGGGCCGGAGTAAGCGCCCCCCTCGCACCCCTGCCTTCGATCTTCCCCCCTCCAGGAGTTATCCTGGGTCGCGCGGGACCCTCGGCGCCAGCCTTCAGGCCGCCGCCGCCCCATCCCCGGCCCTTCGCCCTCTGCAGACCCGCTGAGGCAGGTCCTTCTCCGGCTGGCGGGGCAGAGGCCAGGCTCCGCACCCGTTCAACGGGAGTGGGTGTGGAGGGGCGGGTGAGAAAGACCCTGGGCATGATGAAAAGGGGTAGTGACAGTACAGGGGTTGGCGTCCGACAGCCCCGGGCCGGCCCTTGCACCTCCTCGCTTGCTGTGTGGGGTGGGCTCGTAGTCTCTGTCTCAGAGCTGCAGTCTTCAGAGTCACTGGGGAGGCAGGGCAGCTGACTCCGGAGCCTGCCTCCTCCACCTGCTGGCTATGAGACCGTGTGAGTGACTTCACGCCTTTGGCTAAGCCGCCTCGTCTCCAAAACAGAGGCAATAATAGTATTGTTTTGCAAACATAGTGAGTGTTGTGACAGTATTTGTTTAAAATGACACCAAGAGAATGTGCAAAGTGATGAGATTAATAGTTACTTGTATTAGAAGCAACCATTTTTATTAGTTTGAATCATTCCGATACCAACACCGTTTTTGACCTCCCCAAATGACGGTTCAGTACAGTTCAACTTGTAAAAGTGTCATAATTAATATTTTAAATCCAGAGACTGTCCTTAGATGATGGGGTTTCTGCCCTGGAAGAGCTGATAGTCTGTGGTAGAGGGTGGATTTGTGAATGTTAAGCCCCAATCCTAAACCGGTTACTGCTATTTTCCCTCACACTGTTCTGTAAAACAGTAAACAAAAAATTAGACAAACAGTAGTAAAAAATTAATGAAAATTTTGCTTCTATCCTATGACCCACCCAATTTGCTCCCAGCTACTACCAAAGAAAAATGAAAACCTTTGTCCACACAAAGACTTGTGTATGAATATTTATAGCAACTACTTTCATAGTAGCTAAAAAAATGGAAACAACCCAAATATTCTTCAACATTTGTTAAAGGATCAACAGACCCACAGGCTCACTGTAAGCTGGAGGTGGGTCTGACTCATTTATTACCTGGCCTCCACATGTCCCCACTCTAAAAAGAATGCCTTGAGAATGCTTTGTGTTTCCAAGTGTTAATGTCGCTTCAAAGCCTGGGTCCCACAGGCCTCACCATGTATTGGTGTTCCCGTTTTCCCAGTGCATTGTTACTCAAGTAAATGGGCATCAGTTCTTTTGGAAAGGACTGGAGGAACCACGGCCATGTACTCTCATTGTGGTATTGCAGAGGCCTTCCCCCTGGGGACCCAGCCTCTGTTTTGTCAATGGGTTATCAGCTAAAATACAGGACATTCAGTATTTTTATTTGCTACATCTGGAAACCCTAGTTTCAAGTCCAAAAACTGGCTAAGGTGTGGACACTGGGCAAGAAATGGTGAATTTTTGTTGGGGTGATTGTCTCTAGACTTCTGTTCCTCACTCCTTGTTGTATTTAGATTGTAGAGATTGAGTCATTCTTGTACCTCTGTTGGCTGCCCATCTGTGTTGGCCTTAGGAGTGTCATGTTCTGTTAGCCATTTCCAGAGCTTTCCGTGGATAAGACCTCCACTGGCTGTCGCTCCAGCCAGCCTTGTCCCTCATTTTAAAACATCTATCCACCTAACTTCTGAATTTAAGTGCTGCTGCCTGCCTTCATTGTTTCTGGGGTCTGTCATCCCTGTTTCTATCATTTAGTCCCGACTTGTCACAGCATCTCCTGTGGTCAGCCCTGGCCTCCAAAGGAGAGCCACCATGGAACTTTTGAGTGGTGCTGGTGCCCTTTACACCTTGGGGGATCAGAATTGGCCACCCCAAAATGTGTCTCTTTGGCATGAGGATTATTTGGGGCTGGTTACTTTAAAAAACTGCAGACACGAGAGAACCTCTGAAAAGTGGAAGTTACCCTTTGTAAGAGACATTTACACTTGTAAGGGAAATCTCCATCTGTAAAGGTGTCTCCCTCTCTGGACCAGGAAGAAGGGGGGTATGACCTTATCTCTAGAAAATCTTATCAATGCAGAAAGCAAGGACTTAAATCTGCATAATAACCTTACTCCTGTTTACTGTGCCTTTCTGGTAATCTCCCATAACTGACTCCCCCAACTGCCAACATCCTCCTTTGTAGCTGAAGATGGTATTTAAGATGAGAACCTCCACCGTTTTGGTGAGTGACTCAGTTTTTCTGGGTCTCTCCCATGTACACATGTTATGAAGCTTTGTTTAATTTTCTCCTGTTATTCTGTCTCATGTGAATTTAATTTGCAACCCTAGCCAGAAGGACCTAGAGTGGGTAGAGGAAATGTCTTCCTCCCCTGCACCACCAGCACATTCATTACTGCTTTAGCAGATGGTGTGACCTCTGGGCCCTCCCCAGGGACATAATTATTGCCTAGGTTTCCAGCCTTTCATAATTTATCCACTCCACTGTACACACTCTGTGAGCCTTTTATTCAATTCTTCCATTGTTTGCACAGAAATTTTAGTATTTCTATCTCATATAGCACAGACTGTCACTTTTTCCATGCTTCTGGGCACCACCCTAGCAGCCTGTTTGCAACACCTCCCAGAGTCCTTGAAATCTTTGACTTCCTAGAGAGTGTTCTCAAATCAAGACTCTCTTTTATCTGACTTTATGTTCCTCCCTCCTCGATTCAGGACCCATGAGATCCATTCCCACACGGGCACTTCTGCCTCATGCTGGGATCCATCGGTTAGGATCTGGACCTCCTTCAAGATCGAGTCCCTTTCCTCCCTTATCAGGCCCAGCACATCCCTGGCCGGATAACGTTGTGACTTAGACGTAGTTGACCAAGTGGCTGGGAGGGCACGTGCATGCAGATCCTGAGGGGAGCTCTTGTTCTGCATAGGGGAGTGCTAGCCCTTAATAGGGAGGGGGGAGCCATTTCTGCATGCTCTGAGGGGTCAGGCACCTGTGGATTCAAGATGTTGCCATGAATCAACCCAGATTTACCTATCCCTTTGTCAGGGCCCCGTTCTTTCCACCTGGGGCTCTGACCTTTATGTGGCTGACCTGCCTAGACTGGGATTTTAACTTTCTTTGTAGCTCTGCTTCTCTTTTATTTAACAAATTTACATTTATATATTTTATTTAAAATCATGTTTACATAGAAGAAACTGCACATATTTAAAGTGTATAATTTGATGCATTTTGACATGTGTACAACTATGAAGCCATCACCACAATTAGGATAATAAACATATCCATAATCCCCAAAAGTTTCCTCGTGCCCCTTGGTAATCCCTCCCTCCCTTTCTCACCCCATCTCCAAGCAACCACCCATCTCTTTTCTGTCACTATGGTTTGGTTTGCATTTTTTAGAATTTTCTATAAGTGGAATCATACAATATACTTTTCTTGGGTTTGGCTTCATCCAAAATAATTATTTTGACCTCTGTCCATGCTGTTGTGTGTCTCAATAGTTTATTCCTTTTGATTGCTGAGTAGCATTACATTGTATAGATATACATCAATTTGTTAATCAGTTTACCTGTTGACGGACCTTTGGGTTGTTTCCAGTTTGGGGCTAATACACATGAATCTGAAGCACGCAGTTTGTACGTATCTCTTTGTATGGACTAACACTTCTCTTTTTCTCTTGGATAAATACTTGGGACTGGTTCACATGGTAGGTTTATGGTTACCTTTTAAAAAGACTCTCAAACTGTTTTTCAAAGTGGTTGTAGCATTTTGGGTTCTCATTAGAAGCGTATGAGAGTTCCAGTTCCTCCAAAGCTTCACCAACACTTGGTAGTGTCAGTCTTTTTTATTGTAGCCACTCTAGTGGATGTTTAATGTATCTCCTTGTGGTTTTAATTTGCATTTTCCTAATGGTTAAGCATGGTGAGCATGTTTTTATGTGCTTATTTGTCATCCATGTATCTTCTTTGGTGAAGCATCTGTTCAAATATTTTGCCCGTTTTTTATATTGATTTGTTTGTTTTCTTATCACTAATTAAGAATTCTTTATATATTCTGGACATATCCTTTATTGGATTTATGATTTACAAATATTTTCTATCTATGGCTTGTATTTTCATATTCTTTAACAGTGTTTTTCAAAGAGCAGATGTTTAAAGTTTTGAAGCCAAACTTGGAAATTTGTTCTTTTATAGTTTTTGCTTTTGGCATCATATCCAAGAAATCTTTGCCTAACGAAAGTTCACATAGCTTTTTTTTTCTAGAAGTTTTATAATTTTAGACTTTACATTATTCTGTCATCCACTTCACTCAATTTTTGAATGTGATGTGAGATGTGGATTCAAGTTCTTTTCGTTAATGTGGAAATCCAGTAGTACCAGCAACATTTGTTGACGACCGTCCTGTATCCATTGAACTTCTGTTGCACCTTTCCATAAGTCGGTTGTCTGTATATGGATGGATCTATTTTAGGGTTTTATTTTCTGATTTATTGGTCTATTTGTCTTTCTTTATGCCAATACCACACTGTCTTGATTACTGTAGCTTTATAATAAATCTTGAAATCAGGTAGTATTAATCCTCCAAATTTATTGTTCTCTTTCAAAGTTGTTTTGGCTATTCTAGATCCTCTGCATTTCTATATGAATCTTAGTATCATCTTGGCAATTTATGCAAAAAAATCTGGTGGGATTTTGACAGGGATTGTCCTAAATCTGTATCTCAATTTGGGAAGAATGGAGATCTTAACAATATTGAGTCTTCTGACCTATGAACAAGATACATATCTCCATTTGCTTAGGTCTTTTAAAATATATCTCTGCAGTGTTTTTTTGTAGTTTTCAGTGGGTAGACCTTGTGCATATTTGTCACATTTATCCCTAAGTGTTTTGTATTTTGATGCTATTGTAAATGGTATTAGGATACAGGCATATACTTGATTTTTTTTTCATGTAGATTTTCTATCCTGCTAAACTCTGTTATTCCTTCTAGTTACTTTTT